AATGATGGCGGATCCGGATCAGAGCCCCGCCCCTCCCCCACCAACTTGCACCCCCCCAAAGCCCCGCCCACAGCTCCTCTGGCCCCACCCCTTCTCACCCCACCCTCTTGACCCCGCCTCCGATTGGCCTCGCCCTCTCTTAGCCCCGCCCCCATTCAATGTGTCCCCGCCTCCATTTGTCTTCGTCTTAGCCCCGCCCTTGAGGCCCCGTCCTTGAGGCCCCGCCCCTCCCCACAGCCACACTGCAACACGTGGCCCCGCCCCAATTGGCCACACCCATATAAGCCCCGCCCTCACACGGGTGGCCCCGCCCCTTCCCGCAGCCACACACAGCAGCTCCCGTGACCCCGCCCCCAATTGGCCCCACCCCCCCCACTGTTCCCCTGCCCCATTGGCTGCGCCCTTTCTTAGCCCAGCCCCCACACTCACTCCTATTGGCCGCACTCTTTCCTTGCCCCGCCCTTACCCCCGACGCCCCGCCCCTTCCTGCAGTCTCACCCCATAGCCCCGCTCCCACAGCACATGGCCCCGCCCCTTCCTGCCGCCCCGCTGCAGCCCCGGTAATCCCGCCGTACCCTCTCTGCCCCAGATGCGCACGGCGCGATCCCCGCCGCAGGACGCGAGCAGCGCTCCGCCGGGGCTCCACGCCAAGAACCAGCAGCGCGCCTCGGGGTGCGCGGCCACGCGGCTCTGCAGCACCAGCGCCTCCTTCATCGCCCCTCTTTCTGTCGCTTAACTACTGACCTCACCGCGAGCGCCGGAAGCGGAAGCGCGCCGAGAGGCCGGAAGCGGAAGCGAGCCCGCAGCCTGAGGCGGAGCCGGCGCTGCGGGCCGGGGGGCGCGGAGGCAGCATGTATAACCCGGGCGGGCCCGGGCTGCCCGGCGGGCGGCGGCGACGCGGGACGGCGGGCGGCGGCGGGGGGCTGCCGAAACAACCGGAACGCAGCCTGGCCTCGGCGCTGCCCGGAGCGCTGTCCATCACGGCGCTGTGCACGGCGCTGGCGGAGCCGGCCTGGCTCCGCATCCACGGCGGGACCTGCGGGCGGCAGGAGCTGGGAGTGGCCGACGTGCTGGGAGCCGTGAGGGCCGAGCTGCTGCGGGGTGAGGGCGGAGCGGCGGCGGGTTGGGCTGGTCGGGCTCCGCGCTGGGAGCGGGCGGCGCTCGGGGCTCGTTGTGAAGCCGGGGTTTGGGAGCGGGCGGCTCTGGCGGCGCCGCTTGGCGTTACGCTGGCGTTTGGTGGCGCTCAGGTTACGGCCGGGCGAGTTGTGGGGCCGTCCTGCCTTCCTGCCTTGTGGCAGAACGAGAAAATCCCCCATCTGCGTGTTTTCCTCTGCTCTGCCGTTCCTCCGGCACGCCTGCAGCCAGAGCTGCCCATCCCCCTCCACCCTCCCCGGTTTTTGTGCGTGTGGGGAGGCGGGGTGACCCCCCCCAGGAAGAGCATTCCTCCCCATTGCCGTGTCCCCGTGCTAATTGCCCTTAATGAAAGGCTTTGGCTGTCACACTGTTGAGGTGGTGGCTGTGAGCACTTCCTTGTGGGCACGCAAACAGACCGCGCTGCAATGAGCCGAGGTGATTTCCATGCGTGGGGCCTCCCTGCAGCCCGTCTCTGTGTGCCGGCGGGCTGCCGTGCTGTCAGGCAGGCTTTATAGCAAGGGGAAAGAAGGAACCTGTGCCACCTGTTTTGTTTTCCGGGCTGTTTTGGTGCTGTTTATCCAGCTTTAATCTCCGCTGCAGCAGCACTCCATAAAACACGGCACGCGGTGGGGCTGTGTAACAAAGGTGTGTTTTATGGAGGGCAATGAAAGCATTCGGCTGTGCTCTGCCAGCACTCCTAGCCACGATTGTAGACCGTTAAGGATCAGAGCAGCTCCCGTATCGCAAGCAGTGCTGAAGCTTTGGGGCTCTCAGCATCTCCCCCTCTTCCCACAGATTACTGCATGAACCCTCAGACCGTTCTGCTGCTTCGTGTCATCGCCGCCTTCTGCTTCCTTGGCATCATCTGCAGCCTCTCAGCCTTCCTGCTGGACGTCTTTGGGCCCAAGCACCCGGCCCTGAAGATCACCCGGCGTTACGCTTTCGCTCACATCCTCACAGGTAATTCAGCGCTGCGTGGAGGAGCCCCTGCCTGATATTTCAGCCCCCCGCTTCCGTCTCTGCCCCCCGTTTAGTTGCCTTTCCTTGCTTTTCCCCTCACTCTGCTGCTCAAAGCCTGAAGGCCGGCTTTGTTGCCGCCTCGTGGCAGCTCAGCTCTGACTTCCAAAGCAGAGCTCAGGTTCAGAAAGGAGAGGGGAGGGTCCTCCAAGAGGCCCTGCAGAGCAGAGCTGTGCCCTTGTGGGGAAGGTCGTGGGCTGCGACTGAGCCGATGAGGCTGAAGGAGCTTTATGTCCCTGATCCAGCATTAAGCACGTCACAGCACTGAGCTGCTCACCGGAGCTGTGAGCCCCGTGCTGCTGCATTGCCCTGCTCCTTGTGGGCCGCAGGAGCCCCTCAGCCTCACCTCACTGCCCTCCTCCTCCCCCCGTCCCTCAGAAGGCACTGATCCGTGCCCCGGCCCGTTCTTATTCCATACCTCTGTGCAGCTGCGGAGCCACAAAGCCACAAAAAGCTGCTGCTGGTTTCTCACTGGGAGCAGGGAGTTCAGGCTCCTCTAAAAGAAGGTGCAGAGCAATCCGGCCTCCATTTCCTCCCCCCGGTGCCCGCGGTGTTTCTGCTTTATTCCCCTTGGCCGCGGCGCTTTCCTCCCAACGCTTTCACCACGAGTTTAACTCCCCCTTCCTTCCTTCCTGCCCACCCAACCCCTCTCCTTTCCCCCCTTCCCCGTGCCCTCAGTCCTGCAGTGCGCCACCGTCATCGGGTTCTGCTACTGGGCCTCGGAGCTGATCCTGGCCCAGCAGCAGCAGCACAAGAAGTACCACGGCTCCCAGGTCTACGTCACCTTCGCCGTCAGCTTCTACCTGGTGGCCGGAGCTGGGGGAGCCTCCATCCTGGCCACCGCCGCCAACCTGCTGCGGCATTACCCCACCGAGGAGGAGGAGCAGGCCTTGGAGCTGCTGTCCGAGATGGAGGAGAACGAGCCTTACCCCGCGGAGTACGAGGTGATCAATCAGTTCCAGCCGCCTCCAGCCTACACCCCCTGACGCTGCGGGGCTCGGGGACGGCCGCCCGCCTCCCGAAACAACTTGGATTGGGGACGCCGTCCTCAGTGCTTCGCTCTGGGGCACGAGAGCAGCTCCTTGCCCCCCAAACTCTCCTTGGATGGGGCTGCTGTCCCAGCGCTTTGCAGTCCAGGCGCCTCGTGGCTCTCCTGATTTTTGTTCCCCCCGTGCCAGGGGAAGAACTGCTTTTAGGACGGGATTCCTTCATCCGAAGCCTCCCTTTGTTTCATGAACTCTGTGTCGTGATTTTAACCCTTCTCTCCTCCACCAACTGAAAGAACACCGCCCTGGGGCTGAGCTCTTCCCGATCCCACGGACGATGGGGTCGCCGTGCTGCGCTGGAGACGAATTCCCACCCGACAAATGCAGCCCCAGCTCCGTGTTTGTCCACCCCCATAGGAAGCGTGCGGGTGGGAGAAGCCTCCTGCGGCAGCAGCACGGCTGGGGGCCGGGCGCCTCCCCTGCGCATTTTGCACTTTAACTCACGAGGCTCTGCTATGCAGGGGGTTGAGGGCTGCCCCCCGGCTCCTTGGTTTTTAACAGAGATGAACGGAGACTTTTGTACGGCGCCAGCTCCGAGGAGCGGATTGAGCCCACGCTGCGTGATGGGCTGCGGCTTTTATGCAACATCTCGACACCTCCACCCCGATCGTTCCATTCCGATGGGAATTGGTGGCTTCTTGTCCCCTTTTCGCGGCTTGCTGTCCTGCTTTGGGTTGGCTGCCCCCGTTCCTCCGCACGCCCCGGGGCGGCGCTCGACCCCGAGCTGCGCAGCCACAGCCCTGCAGCAACCTGAGCGACCGGCAGGGCGAGCGTTGCTTTGGGGCTGCGGGAAACAGAAGGGAAGCAAAGCAAAGCAAAGCAAAGCAAAGCAAAGCGTGCCCGCAGCCGCCCCCCGAGCACCGCGCTGCTGGGAAAGCTCAGCCCCAGGAGGAGATTTAGGGCCGGAACGCTGCTGGATGCAGCTCCCTCTCTTCCTGACGCTCCCCTCCCCTCCTCCTGCGCCGCAGCAGCGCTGCTATGCAACGTGTGGCCGCGTCGGTGCCGTCGGTGACCCGGAGTCAGCGGGGCTGTGCTCGGGGAGCAGCCAGCGCTGAGCTGTGGGGTCGATTCCACGCGGCCCCCCCGCTCCCCCCGCCCCGACGCGGGCCGTGCTGCGGCCCCAGGTGCCGCTGTGTTGTCCCAGACCCGTTCAGAGCCCCGTCCCCAAATCCTCCTCACCCCGTGATGATATGCAAGAGAGGGCTGGACTGTAAATAGTCTGTGCATAAACGATGTATTTCTGTAAAAACACGCAGCGACATAAAGGAGAACGAGGCGACGTCCTGCACCGCTACTAATCCGCGTAGCTCTAAGAGGTCAGGGTGGGATGGGGGGGGGTCTTCGGGCCGCCCCTCGCTCACCGCCGCCCATCCCGCGCCCTGACCTTTTCTAGACAATAAACCCGGTGTACGGAGCGTGTGGTGCGAGCTGCGGGCCGTTCCCTGAGCGCTGGGGTTGGGGGGGGGGTTGGGGGGCGGGCTCCTCCGTTGGGGCGCAGAGCTCTGCGCCCCCCTCTCCGCCCCCATCGCTGTGTGCAGCCCTATAACCGCCCTGCTCCCCAGGGACCGCGATCGACGCTGGGCCCCAATTCGCCCCGCCTGCCGCCCCCCGCCCCGCAGATCCCCGCAGCCCTGGGGGCGGGGGGGGGGGGGGGCACAGAGCGAAGCCCCGCCTCCTCTTAGCCCCGCCCTTCCCCTTTCCTCACCCAATCAGCGCGCGGGGCGGTGGCTAGCTCGCCCAATGGGCGTGGCGGAGGCCACGGCATCCAATCGGCGACGCGTCGCTTCTGGATGACGCACAAAGGGGGGGGACGCGGCCCGCGCACGGTGGCGGCATGTTGCAGCCGCGGCGGCCGCTGCTCGGCCTGCTCGCCCGTTGCGCCCGGGCCTTCCGCCTGGGCCCCCGGCCGCCTCCATCCGCTTCTCCTAACGGCGGCGAGGCGGGGCGGCGCGGCCTGCTGGGCCTGCTGGCGCGGCAGTGCGGCTGCGTGAGCGGGCAGCGGGCGCGAAGGGCGCGGAGGGCCTGGCAGCTCGGCGGCGGCGGCGGCAGCGGAGCGGAGGGGGCGCGGCGGGGAGGAGGAGGAGGAGGCGGCGGCGGGGGGTGGGGTGAGTGGTGGTGGTGGCGGGGGGGGCCGTTCCGCGGTCGCCCCGCCCTCGCCGCCGCCGCCGGCCGCCTCATGGCCACCCTGGCCGGGGTCTTCGTCTGGGACGGGCAGCGCATCGAGGAGGAGGAGCTGCAGCGGTGAGTGCCGCCCCCCCCCCCTTCCCTTCTCCCCCCCGTAGCGTGGGGTCTCCTGGACCCCCGCCCCCCCAACCTCCGTCGCTGGGCCCTGAGGGCGCTCGCAGGTGACCCCGGGTTCCCCCATTCCTGCCCCGTAGCCCTGTGCCTCCCCTGAGCCTCCTGCAGCTGCTCCGAGTAACCCCAAAACCCCGAGCTTCCCCCACACCTGTGGGGCACTCGCTGCTCTTTCCTGACCCCCTCGGTTCGGAGTGCCCCCAAAATCCAGGGGTGCCCCCAGCCTCCCCCCGCAGCCCCGCGTCACAGAGTTCCCCCAGAGTCACCCCCAAATCCTTCATGCTGATCCCCACCCCCCGTGCTGGGCTGAGGGGCTCCAAACCTTCAGGTCGTTTCCCCCCGGCCCCTGCATTTAAAGCTGCCCCCCAAAACCCTCGGGCTGCTCCCCCCACAGCCCAGGGTCCTCAAATCCCTCACAGCACCCCCAGGCCTCCTGTGCCTGCAGGTATCCCCCGTGCCTGGGAGTGACCCCAAAACCCCGTAGCCACCCTTGAAGCGATGGGGCTTCACCCACCCCCCAACCCTCGGGGACACCCCACAGATGTTGGCTTATCCCCAACCCTCAGGGATCGCCTGCAACCAGAAGGGCTCTGCCTTCATCTCCCCCAAATCCAGCGCCTCTATGGCATCAGCAGGGCTGTAGGGCCCCCACCCCACACCCCCCACCCACGCACCCCAAATCCCCCTGGTTGGAATCTTCCATGAGGAAATGGGGGTTTGCTGCCCCCCAAACCGGCGCGGTGGGACGAGGGTGGACGGCAGCTTTGTGGCTGCTTCTTGCAGCCGTCAAGGTGTCATTTAGGCCCTAATTGTTGTGCACAGGAGAGAGACGAGTCGGGGCAGGTGATTAAAACTTAATTGGGTGCTGCGGGGCAGCGCCGCGCTGTCCTTCGCTTTGCTCCCTGGTCCGAGGATGTGGCATTGCCATAAGGAGCTTAGCTGATATTTAATTAAACCCGCGGCTTAACGAAGCTGCCCCTTCACCCCAGCGATGGCATCGTCAGCCACTGGAGGAGTGCAGCCTCCTGCGGGAGGAGAAATCACGGGGCTCCTGGGGGTGTGCGGGTGGATCAGTGCGTTCGTTAGGGCCGTGCTAATTGCTGCCGTGTAATTACACCTCGGGGGGTGCAGAGGTGCAGCTGGGGGGTGGGCAGGGGGTGGTGGAGGGCGCTGGGCTGGGGCGGCCGAGTCTGTGCCCCGCAGCCTTTTGTTTTGGTGGCTGTGGAGCTGCGGTTGCTCCGGGTTCTCCAAGCTCTGCTCTCTGCCCTCCCGTCTCCGGTTGCCGCCTGTGGTTTCTCCCTCTGGCTCCGCGCTCTGCACTGACTCAGCACCGCCCAGCGCTGCTCTGCCTCACTCTGGGCTCAGCCCCAGAGCCACAGAAGCGTTTTCCCACTGGAGAAACACCTCTGGATCCCAGCGCCGCCATCCCTCAGTGCCTCCATCGGCTCCTGCTCAGAACCTTCAAACCCTTCGCTCTCTGCTCTGCGCGCCCCCTTGGGTTTCGTTGCTGCCCCGGCCCTGCAGGCATTCAGGCTGGATGTGGCTCTGGGCAGCCTGGGCTGCTGCTTGGCGACCTGCGTGCAGCAGGGGGTTGGAATTGAGTGAGCATTGTGCTCCTTTGCAACCCGGGCCGCTGTCACCAGTTTAAGGGCTGGTTTGGCTCAGTTCTGTGATGAGCGGGGCAGAGGGAGCCGCAGATCTGCGCCTCCGGAAAGAAAGGAAACAGGAGACCTCAAAATAATTAAAAACAGCGGCAAAAACTGAGGAGAAACAAACGAATTTACTAAGTATATTATCGGAATGCAAGATAACACACTGTAATACAACATAATCAGAATTGAAGGTAATAAATCAAATATAATGAGGGAATGTCCGGAAGGTGGACAGGCCTCAGCTCACGCTGAGGTGAGATGCAGTGCAGCTGAGCAGCAGGGAGACGGGAGCAGCGCCCACGACGAAGGGCAGGCGAGAAAGAGAACTAAAGTGGCCTTGCCAGGAGTTCAACCTCCTCTCCCTGACAGCAAAGTCCCCTGGGGAACGCAGTTCTTCTTCTCTTCAGGACTTGAGCACTGACAGTTGAGGTCCCAGTGCCCCGCGTGATGCTATGATGTGGAATGCAGAAAGGCAAAGTCACAAAACCGTGCCGGCCGCTCTGTGGTTCATCCATCCGGTCTCCGCCTGGGGGAGAAGCGCTGCTTCCCTCTGCCGGGCCGCTTCCCCCCCAGGCTCTGCAGCGGCCGCCCTGCGCTGCTCCTGGCTCCTCACGGTGCCTCAGGAGTGGCGGCGGCTGCTGCAGCGACACCCGCAGAGCGGCGGAGCCTTGGGGGGACCGGACCTCACCGACCCCATGACTGCAATCCTGATGCCTGGGCCGTTTGCCCCCCATCAGACCTTGGTTGCCCACTGCGGCGTCCGGCCTGGCTGAGGTTCTCCCTCCTCTGCCGAGGTCCTGCTGCCAACTGCTGCTTTTCTCCCCCCCCCCCCTGCAGCTCAGCCCAGGAGATGCAGCGCATGCAGAACTTGGCCGTCCCGCTGCAGGGGGGGGGGGGCTCTGGGCGAACCCCCCCTCTTGGACCCCCCGTCAGAGCGGGATGCTGCGTCAGCCCCCGGCGAGCAGCCCTGGGAGATGGTGATGGACAAGAAGCAATTCAAGCTGTGGCGCCGTCCCATCGAAGGCACACATCTCTACCAGTACCGAGGTGACCCCCCCCTGCCCCCCCCCCCCCCCAGCCCTGCCGTGCCCTGGGAAGCCCCCCCAGGTGTGGGGCTGATCCTCGACGCCTCTCTTTCCATGGCAGTTTTTGGGACGTACACAGATGTGACCCCCAGGCAGTTCTTTAACGTGCAGGTGGGTGTGCTGGGGGGGGGGGGGGTGGGAAAAGAGGGGGGGGGGGGGTCCTGCCCCAGAGCCGGGGGGGGTGGGTGTCACTTGGGGGTGGCACAGAGCAGCCCTGCCGGGTCCTGCAGCTCATCTGAGCTGGAAGCAAAACGCTGCTCCACATCTCTGCTCTCCCTGCCCTCCTGCTGCCCCACAGGGCTTTCCTTTCTCGGAGCTCCAAACCCTGGCTGCGATGAGGTGCGTTTCCCCAGGACGGAGGCCGGGGGGCCGGTTGCCATCCCATAATGCTGCCGTTGGTTGTGACGTTGGCTTTGCTGTGCTCTTGCCAGCTGGACACCGAATACAGGAAGAAATGGGATTCGTTGGTCATCAAACTGGACGTGATAGAGAGGGACGCAGCCACGGGATCCGAGGTGATCCACTGGGTCACGCACTTCCCGGTGAGCCTCGCGCCCCGACCCGGAGCCCCCGTGGGGCTGAACCCCCTTCCCCCCCCCCCCCCCCATAAAGCTGAACCCCC